GGAAAGCCCCCCGCACCTGGCCACCAGGCGAGGGCTCCACACTTCAGCCTCCCGCGGACTGTCTGCCATGCCCTGAAGTTCCATCAGTATCTTTCCAACTGAGCACAGCCCTCCAGTTGGAAGTGGAGTTTAATCTACTGCTCAAGTCAAAAGCAGCAATGACCAGCACGATCCAGCATCCATGGCCACAGCGACCACACGGCCCCCGCTTCCCGCCCACAGGACCCCAATTCCTGCCTACGTGGCATGCCTACCTTCGTACAGCCAGTCGCTCAGGCCGTTGTAAATCACGCCTTCCTTGCCCGTGGAGACCACGCGGATGGCCTGCTTCCCGATGTGGGCGCAGTAGTAGATGTTGTTTTCAAAGATAAATATCTAATTTGGAAAGAGAAGAAAACAGTGTTAACCGAGGAAGGAGCTAGAAACAGCGACCTGGTGTGCAAGGCCATGGGCGGGGGACCCGGCAGGCGTCGGCCCAGTCATCGGAGTGCTGCTTACTCGCTGATGGGATGCACAGAGCTGGACCAGCCCAGCCGGGAGGCTGGCAGGACCCACTGACCGTGGGGAGTGAACTGAAGTCTTCTGGAGGTGGGGGGAGTGGGGAGGCAAAGACTTTCTCAAGTTATTCTCTTGGGCAGCTGGGGGACAGTGACGCATCTGCAGAGTTGGGGTAACGGGAAGATATGACATTTCTGACTCTGGGCCAATGACAAACACTGGGGACGGGGAAGAAGATGGCTTTGGTCAGTGGTTCTTGAATTCTGACGCATATTAGAATGATCTGGGGAGCTGCCTAGTCCATCTGCGTAGCCCAATGGTCAGTATCTAGGGGTAAGACCCAGGGATCCAAATTTTTAAGAAACACCCAAATGTATGAAGCAGTGGCCCAGGACAAATCGGATGTCTCCTGACGCTCTTAAGTATAATCAGCCGACAGACCATCTGTGTTCTCTGAGGCACTGATCAATTCNCAATGGTCAGTATCTAGGGGTAAGACCCAGGGATCCAAATTTTTAAGAAACACCCAAATGTATGAAGCAGTGGCCCAGGACAAATCGGATGTCTCCTGACGCTCTTAAGTATAATCAGCCGACAGACCATCTGTGTTCTCTGAGGCACTGATCAATTCCGTCCTGTGCGTTCTGTCCCCCAGCCTCATGTCCCCCGGATACTTTAGAACATGAGGCTGTCATATGCGTATTTTGCAAATGCCCAACGTGTGTGGAAAATGAGCTATGTGGACTAAGAACAGCTTTCATAACAATTTTCTAAAAAGAAACTCTAGGGAAAATATTGTCAGTATCATTTCAGAGACCATTGACAGCAGGTAATTTGCATAGTACAGGAAACGGTGGCAATACTGACATTTTTTTTTTCATTGAAAATAAAAAAAGCCTCAGATCGTTCTCACAGAAAGATGGACCTAAAAGCAGTATCAAGTATCCATTTTCTGCTCAGGCCTCGCGGAGCCTAAAGAATTCACTCCAACCAGAAATGAGATGGAAATCTCCTGAATATACATCCTGATTTAATTTCAGCAGCTGTTCTTAAGAGTTTGCCGAAGGGTAAGCAGTATTACAAAATTTTAACTTCTTTTATGCATTCTAAGCCTATTAATACATTTCTGAATCGAATCAGGCGGTAGCCAATTAATATTTTAAGTAAAACATGCTCTGAGAGATGTTAAATCCCTTTTCACCTTGGCTTTATTTTTAATGGAAGGAAACACAAAGAAAAAAAGGAAGGGTGTGTTTGCTTTGAAGATGGTTTACACTTCCCTTTTGACATTCAGTTAAGACATCGGAATAAAAGATGACGGGGGCNGAGTGACAACAGCCTAGGATCTGAGGACAGGCGTCCTTTTAAGAGATTCTTAAGTTTCCTATGTTCATTTTGATGCAAACCTTAATACAATTAATACAGAAAGAACTGGGTGGTTATTAACCATGTCCTATCATGTAATTTTGCTTCCTGAGTTTATGATGACAAGAGCACTGGTGCCACGTGGCACTATGTTGGTGGCTGTGGGCCAGTGAGATGAGAATAAAAGTGCACTCGACAATGACATATTCCTGCCAAGCAAAGTGACAATCATATCATGCTATGTTATCCCAGAGGAGGTTTCTGAGTAGGTCGATCAGCAACATCATGGGACACTGAGTCACAGCATGGCACAGGGTGACAGGCATGGAAAATAAAAGGACTTGCTCCGAAACTGTCACTGCTGTAATCACAGCACCTGCACGGTAAATTGATATTATTGCTTTTAAATTAGGTTGGCTTTGTAGTATTGTTGCAGTTAATTGGTAAGCTCTATTTGGCACTGTGAGTTATACAAGTTTGTACCGTTTTGTGTTTGTCCCTACTTAAGTGCCATGGTAATGAAGTGACTTAAGTCGAATTCGATAATGTAATTTACCACATTAGTCGATCGATGTTACTCATGAACACAGAAGGAAAAAAGTCCTTAAAAAGTATCAGTTTAAAAAAACACAGCAAAATATAGTAGATGTATACACAGAAAATACATCATAACCAATTGGGCTGATCGTAGTAATACAAGGCTGGTTTTCTATGTAGTAATTAATATAAGNACACTGCCCTCCACAGCTAAGATGCTGAACAACAGCTCAACCTGGAGCTGGGCTGCCATGAGTCGCCGGCGATGGCGTAGGCTGCAGACCCTGTGGCAGTGGGTTGCCATGGGCTACCGTGTGTAGCCAGCAGCCAGCGTGAGCGGCCATCCAGAAGCCGTCGACTGATCTGCCTCGCCCAGGAAGAGCGCAATGATGGTGCCAACTTGGGCCAGTGAAGCAACGTCCTCCACAGCTAGACAGAAGAACAAAAGGACAGCAACTTGTCTGTTCCCCTTCCCCCAATTCCCCAGCGCTGTTCCCATCCCCTAATTCCCCACAAAAATCTTAAAAAAAAAAAAAAAGGAACCTTCCTCCCACCTTTGGAAATCTAAGCATCAGCGTATAGAACCTCCCAGGGAACAACCTGAAGTTGATTAAGCTGCCACATCAGCTGCGACTGATGTAAAATATTTGGGGCACCGCCATTTTCGCGTAAATGCCTCAAAGAAAAATTTCCTTTCAATGGATTTGCTAAAGCAAAAGCTTAACTTGAATTGCAAAGCAATGAACTTAGTATTTTATTAGGAAGATACTGAAACGATATTTTAAATCTCCTGGTTGTAGATGTTTTGAGGAGATTAAGTCCTATAACATATCAGGCTCTTGCAGACGGGACCCCAGGGCCCTTTCTTCTGGGGGCTCCAGGGTGCTGTCACGGCCTCCTCTGGAGCTTGGGTCCCCCCAACAGCAGCTGTCTGTGCACAGAGGGCGTAACCACAAAAGACAGTGGTCAGTGTTGGCTTCATTCCAGTGACATCCTCATGTGAGGCCAAAGGACACTGTGACGATAGAACTTCCAGGTCAATTCTCCCGGGGCCCCAAAGGCAGGGCAGAAAGAGCTGGAATCCTGAGAGGTCTGAGCAGTGTGGCCACATCAGAATAAACACGGGGCTCCCAGGAGACCACACTGGACAGGACAGCCTCAACGGGTGCTCAAGGGCCAGCATGTCGGTGGGCAAGCAAGCTGCAAGGGACTAAGATGGCGGTGACCTCAGGCAGGAGACTCGGGGTGGGGCTCGGGGAACCTTCTGGAATGACGGAGCGTCCTGTCTCTTGATGGGGCTACACAGTACTCATGTTTATCCAACTCATCAAACAGCGTCCTGATAATTGTGCATTTTTGTGAGCGCTAATTACACCTCAAAAAATTAGAAACCGAGTCACAGAACTTTACGCGCAGTGTCTTCAGTGACGTTATGATGGGAAGTAATACTTAGTTCAT